AAGCGCGTGTACACACACAGGTGCTCACATGGTGCTCTCAAAAGTATGGGCTTGGGCACGTTCAACACATGTATTAAGACTATGGGGGGCACTTAATGCATTGTGATTTATTATTGTGATTCTTCAGTTAAGCAATGTTGATTATATATATATATATATATTGTTTTTTTTTGTTTGTTTTTTTCATCAAGTTGACGCAGTGATAGGTAGATCTTGTTGTATTGTTGTTGTGTCCCTTTTTTGTGTCCTTTTATTTATTTTTTCTTTTTCTGCAGGTCTAGAAGCAGACTCTTGTTCATTGTTTATTTTTGTGGGACCCCCCCCCCCCCCTCCTCTCTCTCCACCTTTTCTCTTCCTTTCTCTTTCACCTCTGTCTCCGTGTCTGGTCGGAATTACAAAGCATTCAACAACAATAACAATAAAGTTTTAAGTATCAGGCGTGACATTAAAAGCACACGCTTTGATGCTCCACCTGAGAATAAATCTGTAAGGCTTGTCACCAGCATTCAGACATCAATTCTGCTTGCTTCACAGCCAGACAGGACACGGTAAAAAAAAAAAAAAAAAAAAAAAAAAAAAGAAGGTCCGGTCCATGGGTCTCACCCATCAAACTAGCACTCATCTGGCCATACCAGATGCTGGGGGATTGTCTTTTTAAAAAATTTTCAAAGTAGAAGAATGAATGATTTGAAATTATTTTCAAAGAGGTTTTATTTTGAAAGTCCACAGAAGATTTGGATGAAACTTTTTTCTATGAGGTAAATGTGTTCTAGTACTCATCTGTCCACACCAGATGCTGGCATAACAGGGGGATTTAAAAAAAAATGTTGTTTTCAAAAGTAGAGGAATGAATGATGTATAACCATTTTCAAAGTGCTTTAATTTTGAAATTCCAAATCAGATTTAGGTTTAACCTTTTTATATGTACTAGAGATGTTCTAGTACTCATCTGGCCACACCAGATGCTGGCATGACAGGTATTTAAAAAATATATATATTTCAAAGTAGAGGAATTACAGTAATAATTTATAACCATTTTCAAAGGGGTTTTAATTTGAAATTCCACATCATATTTGGATGAAAAATTAATGTGTGAGGTAGAGGTGTTCTATTACTCATCTGTCCACACAAGATTCTGTAATAACAGGTGGATTATTTTTTAAATATATTTCTTCCTGGGCTGCCACCTTACCGTGGTGGAGGGGTTTGAGTGTCTCAATGATCCGAGGAGCTAAGCTGTCTAAGGCTTTTTGCCTCTGGTAGGGTCACCCATGGAAAACAGGTCCTAGGTGAGGGATTAGACAAAGAGCAGCCCGAAGACCTCTTATGATGAATTATATAAATGGAAACTGTGTTCCCTCGCCCAGACATGGGTCACCGCGGCCCCTCTCTGGAGCCAGGCCTGGAGGTGGGGCACGCTGGCGAGCGACTGGTGGCCGAGCTTTCACCCATGGAGCCCGGCCGGGCACAGCCCAAAGAGGAAACTTGGCTCCTCCTTCCCATGGGCTCACCACTCGTTGGAGGGGCCAAAGGGGTTGGGTGCAGTGTGTGACGGGTGGTAGTCGAGGGCGGTGACCTTGGCCTGATCCTCGGCTACAGAAGCTGGCTCTTGGCACATGGAATGTCACCTCTCTGGTGGAGAAGGAGCCTGAGTTGGTGTGTGAGGTTGAGAGGTTCCGACTAGATATAGTCAGACTCACCTCAGCGCATGGCTCTGGCTCTGGAACCAGTTTCCTTGAGATGGGTTGGACTTTCTACCACTCTGGAGTAGCTCCCACTGAGAGGCGCCGAGCAGGGGTGGGCATACTAGTAGCCCCCCATCTTGGTGCCTGTACGTTGGGGTTTACCCCAGTGAATGAGAGGGTAGCCTCCCTCCGCCTACGTGTGGGGGGATGGGTTCTGACTGTGGTCTGTACTTATGCACCAAACTACAGTTCAGACTACCCACCCTTTTTGGAGACCTTGGAGGGGATGCTGGAAAGCGCTCCTTCTGGTGACTCCCTCATTCTGCTGGGGGACTTTAACGCTCACGTGGGCAATGACAGTGTGACCTGGAGAGGTGTGGTTGGGAGGAAGCCCCCCCCCCCCCCCCAATCTGAATTCAAGTGGTGTTTTGTTATTGGACTTCTGTGCCAGTCATGGATTGTCCACAATGAGCAACATGTTCACACATAAAGGTGTCCATATGTGCTCTTGGCACCAGGATACCTTAGGCCGCAGCCCGATGATCGACTTTGTTGTTGTTTCGTCTGACCTGCGGCCGCATGTCTTGGACACTCGGGTGAAGAGAGGGGCGGAGCTGTCAACTGACCACTACCTGGTGGTGAGTTGGCTCAGATGGTGGGGGAGGATGCCAGTCAGTCCAGGCAGGCCCAAACATATCGCGAGGGTCTGCTGGGAACGTCTGTCAGTCTCCTGTCAGATGGAGCTTCAATTCCCACCTTCGACAGAACTTCCAAAATGTTCCGGGGGAAGTGGGGGACATTGTCTGAATGGACCCTGTTCCGTGCCTCCATCGTTGAGGCAGCCGACCGGAGCTGTGGTCGTAGGATCGTCGGTGCCTGTCGTGGTGGCAACCCCCGAACCCGCTGGTGGACATCGGTGGTTAGGGATGCTGTCAAGCTGAAGAAAGTGTCCTATCAGGTTTTTTTGGCCTGTGGGACTCCAGAGGTTGCTGACGGGTACCGGCAGTCAAAGCGGAACGTGGCTCGGGTGGTCACCAAGGCAAAAACCCGGGCATGGGAGGAGTTCGGTTCGCAGCCGAATGTGAAGCAGCTGGGATGAGAATCAGCTCCTCTAAATCTGAGGCCATGGTCTTGATTCGGAAAAGGGTAGAATGCCTTCTCCGGGTCAGGGATGAGGCCCTGCCCCAAGTGGAGGAGTTTAAGTATCTCGGGGTCTTGTTCACAAGTGAGGGAAAACTGGAGCGTGAGATCGATAGGTGGATTGGTGCTGCATCTGCAGTGATGCAGGCATTGTACCGGTCTGTAGTGGTGAAGAGAGAGCTGAGTCAGAAGGTGAAGCTCTCATTTTACCGGTCGATCTACGTTCCTACCCTCACCTATGGTCATGAGCTTTTGGTAGTGACCAAAAGAACGAGATCGCGGATACAAGCGGCCGAAATGAGTTTTCTCCGAAGAGTGGCTGGGCTCTCCCTTAGAGATAGGGTGAGAAGCTTGGTCATTTGGGAGGGGCTCGGAGTAGACCCGCTGCTCCTCCACATCGAGAGGAGCCAGTTGAGGTGGCTCGGGCATCTGGTCAGGATGCCTCCTGGATGCCTCCCTGGTGAGGTTTTTCGGGCACGTCCAACTGGGAGGAGACCTAAAGGTAGACCCAGGACACGGTGGAGGGACTATGTCTCTCACCTGGCCAGGGAACGCCTTGTGATTCCCCCGGAGGAGCTGGCCCAAGTGGCTGGGGAGAGGGAAGTCTGGGCCTCTCGCCTTAGGCTACTGCCCCCACGACCCGACTCCGGATAAGCGGATGAAAATGGATGGATGGATTTCAAAGTAGAGAAATGACTTATTTATAACCAATTTCAAATTGCTTTAATTTTGAAATTCCACCTCAGATTTGGGTGAAACTTCTTTATATGAACTAAATGTGTTCTAATACTCATCTGTCCATACCAGATGCTGGCATAACAGGGGGATTATCTTTTCAACATTTTTTCAAAGTAGAAGAATGAATGATTTACAACCATTTTCAAAGAGGTTTTATTTTGAAAGTCCACGTAAGATTTGGATTAAACTTTTCTATATGAGGTAGAGGTGTTTTACTAGAACTCCTCATTTACTTCAAAGTCCACAGCCTCAGCAGGGACAAGACACAACAGGAGTCTGGTACTTTAATAGCATCCTACTCAAAAGGACATTAGTTATCTGTAGAGTAACTTAGTGAGCTCCACAACTGGAGTGAATCAAAGCACACATAGGCTCAGAGACCTTCTTAACAACACAAGGTGGGGAAGCAGGTTCAGCTCAAGGATCTTTCTTGCTTTTCCGTCACTGAGTCTAGCAAACTCCAGCGGTCTCTCGGTCCTCACAACCCTACATGTAGTTGAGTCTGGTTTGCCTCTCAGGTTTCGGGATTTTGCATCTCTCTCTCTCACTCATTCGGCTCCACCACAACTCCCTGTGCACTTCTTAGCACTTCTCCGCCTTTTCTGTCAGCGTTCTCATTATCGTAACCTCTCGCATCTGCAGCAGGCAGTGCTCTCATCCGGAGCTGGCCGAGGTGCTGGCACAGCACCTTTGAGAGAAGGAGCTATCCACGAGGCAGGGGACCCTCCCTGGGCTGGCAGGGAAAAGCTGGTGGATGTAACACCACACCAGATGAAGGCATAACAGGGAAATGTTTTTAACCCCATAAGTTTCTGGGTTTATGGAATGCAATGGGGTTTTGTCCGACAGGGACACACTATTTTTCAGAGTAGAAGAACTAATGATGTATAACTATTTTCAAAGAAGTTTTATTTTGAAATTTCACATCAGATTTGGACGAAACTTTTTTTATATGAGGCAAAGGTGTTCTAGTCCGCATCTGTCCACAACAGATGCTGGCATAACCCTAATATATTTTTCAAAGTAGAGGAGTGAATGATTTATAACCATTTTCAAAGTGCTTTAATTTAGAAATTCCACATTAGATTTGGGTGAAATGTTTAAATTGAAGAAGAGGTGTTCTAGTACTCAAATACAAAGGCAGTGTAGAACATCCGACACTTTCATAAAAAAGGTCATGGTGCAGTACATCAATTCCTGTAAACTTATGTAAATCGATGTAAACAGAACAAAAAATAACATACATAAGTTTTTATACATGCAGCTGTCTTTCTAGTCGTTTGTTCTTGTGCGTGGACGTCTGAAATCAAGAGTGGTGTTGCAATTCTCCCGTGTTTCGTGACGTCATGGGATCAGTTGTGTGGGATGCTTTTGCTCCCATTTCTCATCTGAATTGCTCCCGGTTGGGAATTAACTCGCGAGTGGAACGTCGCTATTACAATAGGCGACTGCTTTCACGGCCAGTGGAAAGTCGGGGTTTCGCGTCAAAACGCGCGTTTTGGTCGTACGTAATGCTCGCTTAGAACATGCGCTTTTTTAAAATCCCTTTGGCTTGCCATACACCTTTGGCTTGCCATAGACTCGTGTAACGCGCCGGGATCGCGCGCGCTGTGAGAAGACTGCAAACCCGTTAATGCTCACCGCTTCCTCTTCTTCCATCATGGCTCCCTCGATAGAAAGGCAAGGATACTGGGGGCGGCCAACGTCAACGCTGGACTGGTGTGAGGAAAATTATGCCGTCTCGTTTTACGTCGCGGAGTTTTGTGAGTGACACGTTCTGACATGCTTTTCTGTACATTAATGGTTTCCGCGACTCGTTCCAGGAGGTATACAGCCGTGCAGCCAGCGTACGTCACCATCCTGACGTAAACATCAGGCTGTTGGAGCTATAACGCTGTTTCTGTGTTTATCAGCTACATGTTAACGTAACGACCACCGAACTGCTAGTTAAGCCTTGAGGATAGGGGGAAACTTTACTAACGATGTGCAGACAGCTTAGAGACACGTTTAAATCGTTTATTGTTTATCCTTTAAAACCACTTGATAAACAGGATTCTGTTTGTTTACGTGCGTTGGCAGGAAAGACCTGGGGCCATCTAGTTAAATTAAAATCTTTGAGTCAGACAGAAGGTTGGACGCAGCGGACTGGAGTAAAGCCAGCCTCCACTCGCCGATTGACGGTAAAGTGAGCTGAGCTCTCACTCGATTTTGCTAGGCGCACGAGTTCATAGCTTTACGGTAAAAGGTCAGCCACTGTTTTTCAAAATAAAAGCCCATCTTACAAACATATTTTCTGACTGATTATTAAAGAAATAGAAAACAGAATTCAAAAGTTACGAAATCATAACTGGTATTTAAAAACATATTAAAATAGTGGAAATGCCTAAAAAACAAGTTTTGACAATCCTTTTTAAATATGTTTCCCTGAGAGTTCATAGTGATTAAAAACGACACTAGTATGCATGCCCGTGCACATGCACAGATTATATGAAAGGGCATGGTATTGTAAAAGGTGCGATTGGTTGCCCAAGTCCTTTTTCACCAGAGCTGTGCTAACTGAGCTGGGGCTGAAACTTGCAAGGAGCACAACAGCAGTGGTACGTGTATTTAGGAAGCCACTCAAGATAGTGGTGTTTAAAAATAGCATTTACATGTGGATTATATAATTTAATGGCCATCGGTTGATTGGTGTAGCTATTGAACTCAGTTCAGAAGAATTCGCTACAAAGCTAACAATCAAATAATGTGGCCTGCAGCTGTGCACTAAGCCATAACAAAAGTCAACAGAGCAACTGCGAGGAGACAAAGTAAAAAGATGGGGTCGACCCTGAAAGTCACCAAATTCAAAAATGAGCGACCAACCTCTGAGCCATGGCAGCACATGTAAGCTGTCTCAGGAAAAAAAACCGATAAAAGCTGCAGTCTCACCGAAGGACCATCTGAGACTGTGCTGGGCAACTGCACTGTACTCGAACGATCACCGAGGTTCTGCGTTTCTATTTCATCTAGTCTTAGCCCTTAAGCTAGCTGCTACTGGAAGGATGATCTCAGCATAAGCCAATCATGAAGAGCTTAAATGTACGCCCACCAATGGTGGGCACCCCTTGTGGGTATATAAGTGGAGCGACTCCACTGTTCGCCTCCGTGATCTCTTCAAGCCAAGCTTAAGAGCTTTCTTTAAAGAGTAAATTATTGAAGAAACAACATTCAACTCACCAGCCATGTCCAGCGACACCAGGACCTGCCCGGCCTGCCAGACGGGCTCCATCTCCAGCGGCGACCTGCACGCCAAGTGTCAGGTCTGTCTCGGGGCTCATCACACTGGCCTGGCCTTGACCCCCCAGGCCTTGTGCCCGTTTTGTGCCGCTCTGCCTGCGGCTCCATCCGCTGGCACTTTGCCTTCCCCGTGCACGGGCCCGGCTCCCACTCGTCCTTCATCCTTGGACTCCACGCTCCGCGGTGCGGATCAGTCTCTTCCAGCTGTTCACACTCGCCCTTTCGAGCACAGCCCTCCATGGGTCGCTCCCAGTTCTCTGGTGCGAGCGACGGCGGTAAGGGCGCAAACCCAGTCCTCAGACGTCGTTCACGTGACCTCGAACACGCATCCGCTGTCGGAACGCGCGCAAGAATGGTGCCACCTTTGCCTCATAAGCAAATGGATATCGGACACCATTCATTACGGTCACACACTCCATTTTCAGTCCGCTCCTCCTCCTTTCAACGGGATCGTGGAGACGACGTTCACGTCACAGGTACAATCTCAGGCCCTGGAGCTAGAGCTGCAGGAACTTTTGTCCAAGGACGCAATTTCCCAAGTCCCTCGCGGACGAGAGCTCTCAGGCTTCTACTCCCGCTACTTCGTAGTACCGAAGAAGTCGGGAGGAATGAGACCAATTCTCGACCTTTCCCTGTTCAACTGCTCCATAGCAGTGATGCATTTCCACATGTTAACAATGAGGCAAGTCCTGGAATACGTGCGCTCCGGGGACTGGTTCACGTCAATAGACCTGAAAGACGCATACTTCCACATCCCAGTAATTCCCAAGCACCGGAAGTTCCTGCGCTTCTCATTCAAGGGAGTTCAATACCAGTTCAATCGTCTCCCTTTCGGCTACTCGCTAGCCCCGCGCACCTTCTCCAAATGTCTGGAGACCGCGCTGCAGCCACTGCGCACGACGGGAATGAGGGTTTTATTTTACCTGGACGATCTGCTCATATGCGCCCGGTCCAAGGACGAGGTGTCAGAGCAAACCAGGAAGTTAATAGAGCATCTGTCAACCCTGGGGTTTTCCATAAACTGGGAGAAGAGCTCCATCCTTCCATCCCAGTCGATTGTGTTTCTCGGGGTGGAGCTGAACGCCTCTCTACTGAGAGCACGTTTGTCTCCGGCGAGAGCGGCAGATCTCACCACGGTGATCTCCCGTGTGCAACCCCGCAAGATCGTGAGAGCCCTGTTAGTCATGAAACTCCTGGGCATGATGGCTGCAGCCCACGCTGTGGTGCCGTCAGGTTTACTGCACACGAGGCGCCTGCAGCGTTGGTTCATCCGCCTCCGGGTACACCCGATACGTCAGAAGAGACGTATGTTGAGGGTTCCCCCTTCAGTGGGCGGGACCTCGCTCACTGGGGGAATCCCTGCATCCTCTCACACGGGGTCCCCATCGGATGTCCTACGTCACACGTATCTGTGTTTACGGATGCGTCACTGTTGGGATGGGGGGGCACGTGCTTGTCCCATACGGTGGCAGATCGCTGGCCCTCCCACACACACGAGCACATAAATGTGTTGGAGCTTATGACAGTGAGAAATGTGATCAGACACTTCGCTGCCCTTCTCGAGGGCCGCCATGTCAAAGTTCACACAGACAAACCAGGTGGTGGCAGCCTACATAAATCGCCAAGGGGGAGTTCTATCCCTCCCACTATTGCGTGTAGCCACAGATTTACCGTGTTGGGCACATGTCCACCTGCTGTCCATCAAAGCTACCTACATTCCGGGGGTCCTGAATGTAGCAGCAGACATCCTGTCGAGAGGGGGACCCCGCGACTCCCGACTGGCGTCTGCATCCCGCACTGATATCACAGATCTGGATCAGGTTCGGGGAACCATCTGTGGATCTGTTTGCGGCTCGCGAAAACGCACAGTGTCGCCTGTGGTTTTCTCTGAGTCCCCGGGACCATCCCCCGCTCGGAGCGGACGCCTTCTCGCACCAGCCCTGGCCTCAGATGCTCCTGTATGCGTTTCCGCCAGTCCCACTGATTCCCCGTCTCCTGGACCGAGTTCGGTCGGAACAGCTCTCGGTAATTCTGGTAGCTCCCAGACGCTTGTCCGTGTCATGGTTTCCGGACCTGCAAGCGCTAGTGTCCGGCTCTCTGTGGAGGCTCCCGTGGAGGGCGGATGCCCTTCTCCAGGCGGATGGGATAATCAAACATCCTCCCGAAATAGGCCAGCGGCTTTGGGTCTGGCCGCTGAGCGGTCACGCTTAGAGGCTTCTGGGCTGCCGCATGATGTGGTCGCCGCGATTCAGAGTGCGCGGGCGCCTTCTACCGTCACATCTTATGCTGCTAGATGGGCAGCTTTCCAGAAATGGTGTACAGAGCGAAATGTTCAAGCGCTCTCCTGCCAGCTGGCGGATGTCCTATCGTTTCTGCAGATACTGATGGACAGGGGCCTCGCATTCAGCACTATTAAAACATATGCTGCAGCTATCTCATCCTGTCACCGGGTTTTGGAGAGGGATCTGTTTTCAATCATCCCCTCAAAAACATTAATGCTTCCTTCAAATCCAGGTCAATTTCATTGGCTGGACTTTTCCCTCCTCCCCATAATTCTGATGAGGAGGCGGCTTCCCACCTTCTCTGCCCGGTGCTCGCGCTCGCACGATATATGTCACGCACTTCAGGGATTTGCCGTTTACAAAGCCTGTTTGTGCACTACAGAGACTCTTCCCTTGGGCAAGCGCTGTCGACCCAGCGTCTTTCACACTGGCTGTGTGACGCCATTTCACTCGCTTACACATCATCAGGGCGGGATCCTCCTGAGACACTCAGGGCTCACTCAGCCAGAGGGATCTCCTCTTCTATGGCGCTCCACAGTGGTGTGTCAATGGAAGACATTTGTCAGGCTGCTTCATGGGCTTCACCCTGTTCCTTTACTCGTTATTATTTACGAGATGTGGCTTCAGGATCCATCACTCGTTCAGTGCGTGGACCTCAGCAGGCTGAGTGAAGGCATTATGGCACCACATCAGCCTTGCTTGAATGATTTTCCTCCTCTTGTGGATGATAATTTTAGTGGGGCCCCACTCTCCTCTCTTGTTGCCTCAGCCTTTTAAGCCCTGGGCTGCGGCTGAGCGTCCTTCACTAAAAGGAAACATGTTGGGTGTGTCCATTGGTTGAGCTAACCAGTGTGGCGTAAACCCATCCAGCTGCGCATTATTCCAATAGCAGCTAGCTTAAGGGCTAAGACTAGACGAAATAGAACGTTGGTTACGTATTGTAACCCCAGATTCTATGAGTCTAGTCGCAGCCCTTAAGCCACTGGCCCCACTGGTTCTGTTAGGACTAAGAGCCATCGGAGGCGAACAGTGGAGTCGCTCCACTTATATACCCACAAGGGGTGCCCACCATTGGTGGGCGTACATTTAAGCTCTTTATGATTGGCTGATGCTGAGATCATCCTTCCAATAGCAGCTAGCTTAAGGGCTGCGACTAGACTCATAGAATCTGGGGTTACAATACGTAACCAACGTTCTTCAGCGCA